ACCTTCATCTGGATGGTAAGACTACTGGTGTAGAGATATGTGGGTCATACTAGGATATGCTTCCGAAGGTATTATTGAGTTCCCCTTGCCAGTGGAGCTGAAACAAATGCTAAGGGGATTGGGAGATCAAGATAGCAATCGTGCTTCTGGTGAGAAGCTTTCAGAGGCAAGTTGCAGATGGAAATCAATCTTTCACTTTTCTTCTGTACCCTTCATCCCTCCAATGCCCATCTGGCATAGGTGAAGCATTGATCTACCTAACATAATGGTTATTGGCAACCATTAGATCTATTCGTATGCCTCTTTATCAGACGCATGGTGTGACTAATGATAATGGTATTTCTTCTAATAAATTGGTCACAGCAGCTGAAAGATGAAATGTTAAATATTACCGTGATCACTTTCTAGCTTTCTTTTCAACCTTGTTTGATCATTCTTCTGCCCTTCATATGGAGGTTTGAGGCTGCAAAGGTATGACTCGCCTCAGTGTGATGACGGGTACTCTATGTAACAAACAGAATATGAGATTTTCATGACCTCACAGAAACTGTTTGCTGCAGGATAGTAAAGCTCTTAGTGTCATTACTTTTGACACATTTCAATTCATCTCTCTACTGGAATTTTGTACAGACATTGCCTTGTTCAGTCTGGTAGATGACCTCTTCCCAAGGAAGGACAAGGGACATGTGACTTGGCAGATCTCCTGGGTTCTGTGTCTGGTTTTGATGCCAACATCCATGGTTTCTGCCTGGACAGCCTGCATGGGATACAGGCTGGGTTGCAATGTCCATGCTCTATTCTTTTAATAGGTTTTATTGTTGTAGCTCACTTTAGCATCATTTTATAATGAAAAGCAGGTAAGAAATGTCTTACATAACTAATAAATTGATATTTCCAATGAATTGGTCAGTAGCCAGTCAGACTCTTCCCTATACACCAAACTCAGAAGAGGAAAGAATACAAAACATCACCATATAAAAATCTGATTACACACAATAACAAGAAAAACATTGCTACTGACAACAGATTTATATGCTAATATTGTTAATTAATAACAGCTGGCTGGCTAGCGTTAAGACAATAAAAGATTGTAGCTAGAAGTTTCTCTCTTGATCTGTTGGGAAAGGAAAACGAAAGAGGGGAGAAAGAAGCCAGCTTTCTACGCACTGGAACTTAATCCCATTTCAGAAAAGCTCTTAGGAGTGATAGTCCCATGGTGGGTGTCAAAAGGGGCAAGGTGAAAACCCACATAATTTAGCTGTAAGGTCTCATAGCCACTACATAACATTTAGGGAACGGGTTTCAAACTTTTAGAATGGATAAAAAATCAAAAGCCAGAAAACTACCCAAATGATCCGTTTTATAGAAAATGGGGTGGGGCCAGGGAAGAGAGGTGAGGCCTTCCAGGAAACCCTAGATGCCCAGATTGGGACTCTTGGATGGCCAGATTTGATCTGCAGGCCTGAGCTTCTAGAAGCTTGCTATATTGAAGCCTCTTTCACATACAAGTTATGACACAGGACCTCATGTATAGAAGGGGACTTAAGCCTCACCCCAGAAGTACTGTGGTTCTGATAACCCTGCTCTTATGTCAAGCTCCATATGGATAGGCTTTCCACATATTTTGGAATCCTCTATGCAATTGTGCATGGAGGTCTTTGATAATTATTGTGAATTTCAACAAAATAAAGCCATATAAGGAAAAAGAGAGAGAAACAAATACATTTTCCTTATAGGCATTAAAACTGATACCAACAAAAAGTGTATCCATAGAGGGAAATACAGGAAAATATACAAATACAGCTATATATAAAATACCAATACCAATAAAATCAGTTATGCATATGTTTTCTTTATTGATTTTTCAATGACAAAGATGGACAGCAGCAAGCACATCATGACATGTATGGAGACAGCTTTGTTGGATGGTGGAAATGTGGGACAGCCTATAATATGGGCCCCAGAAACAAATGAAAAGAAATGTTCATAAAGGGATGTTGCACAGAATTATTCCCACAGGGCTATTGGCTAGCATATTGAACACCAGAATAAATGTATTATTCATATTTTGTTAATGTTCATTATATCTAAAACCCCCACCTAGAAATACCAAGGGAGGGCAGAAGTTAGATCTCCAGATATTTCAGACTTCAGTTCCCAGAAGCCCTTGACAGCACACCTAATAGTTAAGAATGCTGGGATCTGGAGTTCGAAACATCTAGAGATCAACCTTCTGTACCATTCTTGCATTATTCATTGTTTATTTCATCTACTATATTGTATTATTAATTTTCGGTGAATTTCAACCAAACATAACAAATTAAGAAAGTATAGTTTTCTTACAAGAAATAAATCAGCTACAATAGGTGTGTATGAATTGTATACCTATGAGTAAATATGTGAAAATATGGTGATCGATTAAAAAGATGCATTGATTACAAAAAATACCAAATATCCATATATTTATCCATTTGTAGGTTACATTTAAACACCATCCATTCAAACACTGACAATATCATAAGGTTCTTAAACCATTATGTTATAGGAGGTGGACATTTATCTTTCTTATGTTGTAAATCAGTCTTTTAGTTGCCAAAAGGACATGGAAAATCCATTTACATTGACACTTCATCAACAGCCAATCAACAATTAAATGTGCACCACCAGTAAGGATGAAAGAGCAGTCTAATATTAAATGTATCCGTATGATGACATCCTCTCAAAAAGAAGCAACTATTTGACATTGCCAAAACATACAGGTAAGAGAACCATTAGCAGCGTCACACCTCCAGCAATTTGCCAACTTGAACAAACCCTTATTCAAAAGATGCCATGGTGCCCAATAAATGTGAAATGAAAGTTTTTGTTTTATAAGACATAACTTAAGATACACTAACATTTTGGGCACAGACACTGAAATAGTAATCCATTGATTCAATGAATTAGAATAATTGGAAGTTTTGTCTTGTGTTTTGTTACGGAGCCTACTGAGAGTTTTGGCACCTTGTATTCCCTCCCAAGAACACACTGGCACTGAAGTCCTGCCATGATTCCACAGAACTTCTGGACTGTTGTGAGATATCTTAACATTTTAAGATGAATGCACTAGAAAATTAGTGTTTCCAACAATGCATGAAACAACAAGAACTTGCATCCCGAGATGTCTTCTGTGAGAGAAGGAGCACTTCCACTTGTGAAAGGCAGTAATGATACATTCCTCCAATTTCTCTGCCATGCGGTGCCAATCCAATCCTGTGCTTTTTCCAGGATCCATCAACTCTCAGAAGCAGCGCAGGGGGCTATGAGATGTTGAGCCAAGAAAGCCCTATTTAGGGTGGCTAATTATGAATGGACAAAATCCAGGAAATCTATCACACCAAAAGAGGCTGAAATATAATGATTTGCATCAAATTTGCATATGCTAGCTGCAGATCTAGAGAAAGAAATACTGTTCATCTCACCATAGAGCGATCAGGTGACCAGAGTGCTTGCCTGGTCAGCTGCTAGCTGCGAATGGCCACCAGTTCTGATGGTTCTTTATGTTAAAAACAGAATGGGACAGAACAACCCTTCAAATAAAAGAGTGTCCTTTATAAAAGAAGACATTAGGTCACCCTCGCAGGGGAGGTCTGCTCAGTCTTCTCTGGATCCACCCCATTTTCAGATTGGCATTAAGGTATTTCCAATGACATCCAATGTTCTTCACCTCCCTCCCCAAGAGACAGACAACAGGCCTATCTAGTCCAGCATTCTGTTCTCATGGTGGTCAGCCAGAGGTCTATGTAGCCCACAAAGGCATGAGCAAATAGCAGACTTCTGCTTGTCTTTCTCAGCAACTGGTGTTCAGAGCCAGCCCCCAGCCATCTTGACTGCTAGTCCCTGATAGACCTATCCTGCATTTGATTCCGTAGAGATATTTCAGCTGCGTGAAATTGGCAGATCCTCAAAAATTAACCCAGTCATGTTGGAAGGGACTAAAGATGGAGACCAGGAGGCAAGTTCATAACAAAAGTCTAAGCTGGACCTTTCATGAAAGAACAAAGGCTACTTTAAGGGTGATGTTAGAATATAACTAATAAATACAATACAACACAATTTCAGAAAGGTCACAGGCTAGTAGTGCTCTGCCAGCATTTCTCAGCCTAATGCACTTCAGATGTTTTAGACTGAGAAAACATTGATTCTGATTCAATCAGAATCCAATCAGCATTGGTGCTGATTCAATCCCCATCAGCACCAACCAGTATGACAGATGGTCCAGAATGCTAAGAGTCTTATTCATAGAATCATTGGATCATTGAATAGTAGAGCTGGAAGGATCCAAGAAGGCCATCAGGTTCAACCCCCTGCTCAGTGCAGGACTCAGATCATCCCCCTCAGATGGCTGCCCAGTTATCTCCTGAATGCCTCTGGTGTGGGAGAACCCACAGCCTCCCTACCTTATCGGTTCCGTTGTTGTATTGCTCCCACAGTTCTTCCTGATGATCATTTGGGATCTGGCTTCCTGTAACGTGAAACATTTGCAGGATACCAAGTTGGAGAAAACTGTAGTATGTCATTATGGAGATGGAATCAAGGGAAGGCTTCTATAAGATCAGCAGTTACAAATAGTGTTGGATGGGTTTTTTAAAACAAAGAAAAAGTAGGGGAAAACTAAACATTCTGTCTGACATGATGGGTGGGGGTGATATGTGCTGGCTTTCTTTATCATAAAAGAAGCAATCTGACTCAGGCCCATGCACACTTTCGTGGAGATAAAGAGACACATGGCCCTATCCTGTGTGCTACACAGAACGTTTAGTTTGGCCTTCATAGATCATGCTAAATGGAATGGATGGGCAACAGAGGGGCGGGCAAGCTTTCACGAAAGAAACAGCTTGGCAGTAACAGAGAAGGATGTTGGCAAATCTTTCTGTGGCAAGTGGGATAAGAGATGTCTAAAGCGAACATCTCTAGAAAATGAACTTCCCTCCATCGGATGGTTATCCAGACAGCTTCTTTTACTGAGACAAGGTTTCAGACATCCTTGTTCTCATGTGTTCCCAGGCCTCCACATCGTCCTCATCTCTGCAGGATCTATAAATCACCAAATGGAGTGCTTCCTTAGATGTTTGCTGTTTCTTCCTTCCAACAAGAAAATAAACAAAAGGATTTACGCTGCTGTTGATGAAGTTAAGAAAGGTAGAATAAAACAGGGCAATCCAGCTTATTTGCTCTGATGGATGCCAGTATCTTATTAGAGAGAGCAACCTAAATGGCAAGGCAAAGATGAGGAACAGAACAACAGTGATAATAATGGTGACATAAAGGCGCGGTGGAGACTTTGGCTGTGAATTTCTGCATATCTTCACAAGCAAACTCGAACTGCAGAGGATCATGACTGGAATGAAAATCAGGAAAATGGTGGTGAGGAATATCTTTTCAGCAGGATAGTTGCCTTGGCTTTCACTTGAAAACACGAAAAGGAATGCCCAACAAGTAGAATATTCCACCCCAGTTACTGCAAAAGAGAGAACCCACAGGAAAGCACATAAGATGGCTGAGAGATGTTTTGGCCGATTAAAATGGTACCAGAATGGGTAAAAGGCACCTAGATGTCTCTCAACACTAATGGCTGTCAACAGGAAAAAACTGCTGTTGTAGCTAAAAAGAGTCAAGATGTCTATCACAAAAAACAGATACAAATCGAAAGCCAACATTTTCCATATCACGAAGCTGAAAATAAAGCTTAAGAAGTAACAGAAGAGCACAGTGAAATCAGCAACAGCCAGATTCAGTACATATACAGTATATTTAGTCCTTTTGATTCGACAGCAGAGAAACCAGAAAACGATTCCATTGCCAACTAGTCCCAAAATGGCGACAGGCATAATAGCGCAGGCCAAGACCACAGCGTCGTTACCATCTCTGGCAGTCCTGTTCTGTACTTGTGTCTCATTCATCTTTGCTACATCGGTGGTGAGAATAGACAAGGAGCTTGCCTCTGTCATCAGGACTTGTCTGGTGTGTACACTAATTCTCCCTTCCCTGTACAAATGGAACATAATTCCATGATTAGGTTGCGCTACCTGAGTAGAGTACATTATGGAAATTTGGAAATGTCCATCTAGCAAGACAAAGACTTATGGGAATTGCATAGAGTCTCTAATGCAGGACTACAGAACCTCTTTCAGTGGAGGGACAGATTCAATTTGGGAGAAGCTCTTGAGAGCTACTTGCCAGTGCAGGGTCAAAACACCATCTATATCAGCATATTGAAACTTAAAGCTAAATGTGCCAGGGGCTAGGCCTTGAGAGAGGCACTTCAACATTTTAGAGTGGGGAAAAACCACACAAAAGCTGGAAAAACACCACACAATCAGGGGTTGTGAAAAGAGACAAGGCCAGGCAAAGAGGGCAGGGCCTGCTGGGGAATCCCTGAGAGCCAATTTGCACCCTGAGCCAGAAGCTCCACAGCCCTGCTATAGAGGGTCACTGGACAACTCCAGGGACTGATGCATAAGTTCCTCCCACCTCCCACTTTTCAGGGTGGTTTTTCTGTCAAGTAAAAGAGGAGACTCCAAGGCGACATACAGGTACGTGAGGAGGTGTCACATGGAAGTGGGTAGAGACCTGTTTTCCCCTGTGGAGGAGGGCAGGATGCCAATGGAGCCAAGCTCAGGGAACCAAGGTTCAATTTGGATGCCAGGAAGCACTTCCTGACAGTTAGGACCCCGAGGGTGTGGAATGGGCTTCCACGAGAGGTGGTTGATGCCCCAGCGGTGAGGGTGTTCAAGGATAGGCTGGACGTCCACATGGTGGGCATGTCGTGAGCAGAGTTGGCTAGAGCTGGGGATCAGGCTAGATGGCCTGGGATGGCCCCCTTCTAGAGCTGCCAGGTTGCTGACGGGGCGTTATGCTCACATGACTCCAGTCCTCCGTCAGCTTCACTGGCTTCCCATTGAAGCCCGGGCCCAATTCAAGGTGTTGATTATGACCTATAAAGCCCTAAACAGCTTGGGTCCTGGCTACCTGAACGAGCGCTTACATCCGTATATGCCCGACCGCCCTTTGAGATCTGCGGGAGAGTCCCTTCTCCGGGAACCCTCCATGAAAGAAATTAGGAGACTAAGTACCCGGAGGAGGGCTTTCTCTGCGGTGGCGCCCAACCTATGGAATTCACTCCCCAAAGAGGTCCGTCTGGCACCGTCGTTACTGGTTTTTCGGCACCAGGTAAAGACCTTTTTATTTAAACATCATTTCAATTGTTAAAACATATGATCTGGCCAGGGCAACTTCTTCTTCCTTCTCTTTCTCCTCCTATATTTTTATTTTATACTGATAATTTTAATTTTATATTTGTAAATCAATGTATTTTTTGTATTTTTGTATTTAATGGTGATTTATTATGTACTATTGTATTTCAATGTATTTTATCATGTTGTAAGCCGCCCCGAGGTTTCGGCAAGGGGCGGCATAGAAATGTTTAATAATAATAATAATATAATAATAATAATAATAATAATAATAAAAAAAACCCTAAAGCCATCCACAGGTATTTCCAGAGATAAGAACTTGGAGGGCCAGGCCTGTGGATGGGCAGAGTTGTCTCCAGGTCTGAAGTTCTGTTTTCATGGAAAGACAACAGAAAGTCCTTATGGATAAGGGAACAGTTTACCTGGGTCCAGGATACTGTTTGCAGCCTTCACAGTATTTTATTTTTATCCAAGTGAAGTATGTAGGATAACGAGTGGTATACTGAATATAGGCTGAGAAAATGGAAAAAGAAAAAAAAAAAAGAATTATAATTTTGCCGCTTGCGGTAGAACCCTAATTACACTAATTCACCACTCACCAAGGCCAATTCTGCTGTGCCCTTTGGGCCCAGTCCTTGCTTTCCTTTGTACCATTTCTGGGTGCTCTGCACCCTGCCCCATGGCAGGGCCAGCCCTGCAACAAGGTCTACTGCTGGTGAGGTGGGGCAGCCATGCTTACAGGGACATGCTACAGATGGCAGGCAGGGAAAGTGGGGTTGGGGAAAGCCTCCTTAAGAATGGGGCAGCCCACTGAAACCAAGAGAAGCAGGGGGAGTTGATTTCCTGACTTTGTGAAGACAGCATTCTCTGGGAAGTTCAGAAATATGAATTATGCACCTTTGGGAGTTAATTCAAGAGTAGGTAATGCTCAAAAAGTGAGGTAAAGTTTACGTGGGAAAAAAAAAACAAGATTGAAACTTGAAGCATAAGAACCTGCCTTAAACAGAGTCAGCCACTGGTCCAGTCTAGCTCAGTCTTGTCAGCACAGACTGGCAGCAACTCTGCAGGGTTTCAGTGATGAAGATATTTTCCAGCCCAACCTAGAGATGGATCCGGGACCCTTTTTCTGCATGCTGCACACGTGTTCAGCAACTGAGCTGCGGCCCTTCCTTAACTAGCAATAAGCAACATTGCCGCTCACATGGAAGAACATGGAAAGCAAAAAGAAAAGCAATGAATTGTCTCACATAAAGTGTTTGAGGACTGATTCTGAAACCGTGCTTCCAAAGCTTATGTAAGGTGTACTTTAAGCCAAAAGTGTCTCTTCTCTCTTGATGTCTTCCAGCAGCCAGCCAATTTGGAACTGGGAGCCAGACCAGAAGAAAACTGACATAAGAGGGATCTGTCTTGCATTGAAGCCCCTCTTCCATGAAATTGCTGCATGGAAATAGCTTCAAAGATGTGGCCAGTGTACTAAGAAGGGAGGAAATACCAGCTGGGCAATTCCATTCCCTGCTCTTGGGGTCCTAAAAGATGCTATAAGCCTGCAGCAGCAGGAACTAGTGGGACTACAGTACTTCTCCTGTGGCACCACATTTATGCCTTTTCAGAGCACATGGCACACGGGAATGTAGCACGTGCTGCAATATCTAGCATGAAGGTGCAAAAACTGGGGGCAGCTGCCCTTCTTGCTCTTCTGTCAAAGGGCCCCGTCAGACCCCGTGCCTCTGTCCTGATCTCAAGATTCATTCTGTAAGTGATACTGTTCAGGAAAAGACAAGACTTCCTCCCTCCCTCCCTCCCTCTTTTGTACACATGCATCCAATGTACACACATACTTCCTCCTCCAGCCCGTTCAGGCATTTTGACAACAGATAGAGCTGAAGTTGCTCATAAGCATTACCACTTCTCTGTGCCAATTGTTCCCTTTGCCCAGCAATGCACCTCAGGATAATTTGCATACTTTAAAATATTACAAAACATAGGTAAACCTTCTTTCTGAAACATATCAAGACCAGGTACATTCTGAAAACTGTGCATTTCCTTGCCACTGTAGTGGCACATGAACTGGCATGGACATGACAATACATCTCTCTGTCTGTGATCCTCCCACCCACCCATCTATGTATTTATTTTATTTGCCTTCAGTACCGATACTCCTGAGGTAGCCACTGCAATATATTAAAAGTGCCTATACAATAAAGAAAAAAACCCACAGCAACAGCCAAATCTCTGCAGTGACATCTAGCCTTTATATCGAAGAAGGTTGCTCTCTAGCTACTTTTATTACTTCCTCCCAATATACCAGATATTTTCCTTCTGCAAAGTATGAAGACTTCTTTGAAACCAAGAAGCTTCCAGCTTAGCTTTCTCCAAGCTGAGCCCCTTCTCTGGATCTCCATCAGGTTCCTCCCTCCCTCATACCACCTGAGAAGAGCCGGTCCATCAGGCTGCAGCAGAGGGAGGGCTCGGAAGCAGGCCGCTCCAGCATCTCAGCTGAGAGACTTGTAACTCTGTGCTGCTCCTGCACCGCTTCCATTCTAGCTGGCCATCCTAAGAATGGTGCAATGGTGAGAACTGGTATTTGGGTTTGCTCTTCCCTCCCAGTCCCCTTCCCTTCTCCCTTCTTCTGTGTCACGTCTTTTAGATGGTGCCTTTTAGATTGTAAGCCTGAGGATGGGGCAGTCTTGTTTGTTTGCTTTTTGTTTTAACTGTCACTAATTGTAACCCATGCCTGGGTTACAATCTTTTTGGCTTATGAGCAAGGTAAACATGCTTCAAATAAATAATCTCCCAATGTCTGAGACTACCAAAGCTATCTCCATGTAAGTAAATATCATAGAGATTAGTGTATATGACAGAAATACAAAAGGGTAGTCATGTTTCTCTATAGTGGCCTTTTATTTAAACCAAAAAAGGAAGCAGTTTCTTCATCGTTTAATTCCATGTGTAGTTCCAAAACCTTATCCGAGAAATGTTTATCTTCAACATGAGAAGTCCGTGACCCTGAACTGAAGGCCAACCCCCCTCCCCCTCCCCGCCCCAATTCCACAGGGATTCTCTGAATCCCTTCAGATTGGAAGAACGCATAGCAGAAGACTAGTCCCCAAATTTGGAGTCTGTATGTTTGGAATTCAGCTGAACCAGCTACTACATTGCAGGAGGAAAAGCAGGGGATGAGAACCAAGGGAAATTAATTCTTTAGGGACTGTGCCCATTTTGCTTGAGAAACAAAGAGAGTGTCGGCCTGCTGCTAATACCTGAAAATAAGAAGCAGGGCTAGAACAAGGCCATGACGAGCCCAGGCCTAGTGGTGCACCTTCTACTCTGACCCCAGTACCAAACTCACACGACATTTGTGCACACCTGGACACGCAGAGGCACACCGACCCACACAGTCAGCCATGTACAAAAATAATGCAAAAACAATTTTCACTTGTTGGGAAAATTTGGGTAAATCCTGTCTGAAAAGCATTACTCATGTGTGCCTTTGCATTGTGGATCAAATCCTGTCTTCCTTCTCAAAACCAAGCTGTCACTGTTTAAAATGGCATTCCCCGCTCCTTTCTCTCACCTTTAGCTGTAGGCTACAGTAGGCCATTTTAGCCCAAATATCCATTGTAAATAGTCATTGTTGGAATTCAGTTTACAATCATCTTTTGATAGCCCAGAGGGCTTCATGTGCCCTGATCATGCAGAATGTTTAGAGTCGAGAGAAGGGTCTGAGCTTATCATGAATAGTTTCTAGTAGCTTGAATTTGCATGTCTGAGAAGACCTGGAGATGGGTTCAAGTTACTCAACTAAAGTGTCAATACAGACAATTATAAATATTGTAATCTCATTGTTA